TTTTTTTTCCCCTTAATAATAAAAACCTTCATTTAAAAACTGCATTTGTGTTTACTTGTGTTATCTTTGTCTAATATTTAAATTTGTTTGATGATCTGAAACATTTAATTGTGACAAACATGCAAAAAAATATGAAATCAGGACGGGGGCAAACACTTTTTCACACAACTGTATCTTAAAAAAGTCACAGGTGACCTTTTTGGCTTCTTTTGGGGGAATTCCGTGCCTTTGCCTAGATAGCTCGAAGTAGAGAGATGACAGGAATAGATGGATTGCTGTGAAATTTGGGTCACACTCATGTTCCCCTCAGGATGAATTCTAATAACTTTCCCTGACATTTTTATCCAGGGCCATCATCAGGTCAAAACACTTACTAATGATATCCCGATCAGTCTCAGCTGTACTTATTGTTTAGTGCTTATTGGCAAATGTTAGCGTGGTAACTCACCAAACATTGTAAACATTATACCTGCTAAACATCTTTATGTTAGCATTGTCATTTTGACAACATCTAGCGACATTATAATCCCTATGAAGCGGACGTTTGAAGTCCCAGTTTGCCGCTTTGAGGAGGGTGATGGACACGAAACGGAAGACTGTCCTTCTCTTATCAATGCTTATTTTGTTCTGCATAACTACTGCAAAGTTCACAAAGAAACTGTAAATGAACAAAAGCATAAATACTCTCCAGTATGACTGTGACTTCAGCCACCAGCAGAGCTACGAGTGTGAAAACAGACAAGGAAACCGAGAGGAAACGAGTGAGACGTGTGTTGACCAAGTTTATTTTAAGTAAATTTGATGTGTGTTTAAGAGAGATAGAGCAAGACCTGCAGCCTTGCAACTAACGTTTGAAAGATATTTTTTCACGAAATTTGTCAGTTTTAGTATATAGAGGAAGGTCTTAAGTATCAAGCATTTCGACAACGATGCTGAAACGGCCGTGTGGACATAGATCGTTTTCTTTTCAAAACCCCGGCTTTAAACGGAAACCTATTAGTGTGGATGTAGCCTTAGTCGCGTTCCCTTTTAACTTTGACATCAGCGCATCTGGTGAGACACACCGCACACATTCACACACACCCTGCTCCTCCTGGTCTTTGTGTTGTCTCCTCCTCCCTTTCTGTCTCTGGGGTTGTCCTGTCCCTGTCTGAGTGGTTGAACAGGTAGATCTTGATCTGTCACTCAGCAGTAGGATCTTGCTTTGTCAAAGTTGAGCGCTAACCCGCACAGACGGGTCCCTGCAGTTCTCTCCCGTCTCCTACCGAGCACTTCAATTAAGGCTTCTTTCATCCCAGCCTCATTCTTGACTTCAGAGTGGCGCTGGAGGGAGGGCCGAACCGAGGCCGAGAGATCGAATCTTTGACCGTCTGCGATGGTCTTTTCTCTCTGCCACTTCCAGGCTTCCACTCTTGCTCTAAGCTCACTGTTCTCTCAAAATCCCCTCTGTGTTTACTGGTCTCTCTATCCGTCCTTCAGTTAGCCCATTCCTTGGCTGCAGCTTCTTTCTGCTATTCCTGTCACGGGAGAATGACCTCATCCTTTTCCCTGTCTGTTAATCACCCAATCCCTCCTTCTTATTTCTGCTCTTCCTGGTCCTCCTGACCCACAATCTGCCGTCATCCAGCCACCTTTCCCATCCTGACCTCTATTCTTGTCTTCGCTTTTTATCATCCCCCTGCCCACCCCGCATCTTCTCGCTCTTTCTCTGCCTCTATTTCACTCTCTCTCTCTCTTTATTCTCCCCGTCTTGCTCCCGCGCTCTCTCTCTCTCGGGTAGTGCTCAGCTGTAGAGCACAGCGGACTCTAATGGCAGATCATTATCATGCTAATTAGAGCACTTTGTAGCTGCCGCCCGTCATTCTCCGCTCCTCGCAGCCCCCCCCCATGCTATCGTTAAAAAGGCCACCCCCTCCTTTTCCCTCTCCACCCCCCTCCCCCCCCCACCTCGTCTCTCCATCATTAACGGGACACGCGCTGGCGTAATTGGACGCTGTTTATGCGGGAGCGCGGGTTATTAAATCACACCGAGGTGACGCTCGCGCAGGTCTCTCTCCCCCCCCCCGAAAACGCTTTCATCATTGTCCCATGCCATTATTAAACCTGCGTGGACGCGCACATATACAAGCGCTAATGCACTCATTCAAAGAGGGTGTTCTTTGCATATTGATCCTCCTTACAAGACGCATGGATGTGTACAGCAGCCCCCCCCCCCCCCCCCAACAAACGGCTACCATCTCGGATTCCCCAGCCAATAAAAAGTTTAATTTGATAATGCTCAGTGAGGTTTTTATTTTTTCCGACCCGCAGGCTTTGAGGACAAGCGTGGACGAAGTGAAATTAGGCCAAGGACCTAAAATTTGCCTTTTTAGATGCTGCTCAAACTTGCAGTTTTTAGCACAGATGTGAAGGACTTTCCAGGCACGGCGTCAGTCCCAATCATTTTCCTTTGAAATGTATGTCTCCGTATTTATGGGTCAGAGAGAGATTCCTGTTTTTCCCGAGGATCATGATTAGGGCCACGGTGATTACTCTCGATGTTTCACCTCTGCGCGGCCCAATATGTGTGTCACGAAGGGCGCATTTGTGCCAGGTGCTCAGGAGGACCCGGGCGTCGCACAGCGCAGGCCTCGACTGCACCGCGGTGACGTGGTGGCCAGGAACCTGTCTATCAAAGCGAGACAAAGGCCTGTTTCATGATTAGAGGGAGAGGCTGAAACTCCTCCGAGCTTACATCACCTCCCGAGAGGTTACGTAACACAAGGCTGCCATTCCAGCAAATCCATCACCCCCCCCCCCCCCCCTCTCTGTCATCTGCTCAGAAATACCTGACATGTTGTTCTCTCCCCCACGCCTCCCTTGATTGTCAAAACCTTCATCCCGTAGGAATGCCATGCATTGTCGGTCGCAGTGACTTTGCATTATAGTTTGTTCTTTATCTGCCTTTCTCTCTGCTCACGGAAACTATATGTGTAGTGCGATGCAGAGGCGCTGAGTCAGGCCTGCTCCTGCTCTGTGCTGGTTTATGTGCAAACCGTGTGTCCTCTATGTATCGGCTGTTTAGAATAATGCTGCCCTGTGTCCACACAGTCTTACCTATACATTAACATTATTAAATGTGTGCGCTCGAGGTCATCTGTCTCTTTCAAAGAGTTTTTTGGGAGTATGAATGAGGAATGTTTTATGTTTAGAGGCTGAATAATGATGAAATAAAGCGAAACAAAGCCACCAAATCATGCCTTAACAACGATAGCCTTCTCAGATTGCAGAGGAAATCTTATTAGATGAGTTTCTCTCTAATCGGTTTAGACAACCCTACTATCTCAACACTGAACACCTAGTGTGTTATTACGTCCTGTCACGGTATAAATTCCATTAGGATAAATGACGCTCTAGTTGTGGATTCAAAATGTATTAAATCCTGTGTTTTTTTTACGACCTGCTCGTGTTTGTGCTTTCTGCAGATGGTACGTGCCTCTGTTCAGCCTCATCTTCTTGATGATCTGCTGCAACGCCAGGATAATCTGCGTGGCCAATGCAAGGGTGAGTGCTCGACATGCGTGAAACCAGCAGCCACCCGAGACACCGGCACTATAGCTGAAGTGCATTGTGACCTTATAGAAAAGTGACATTAGTGAAAGCTGACATCTCTGAGAATCTCACAAAAAATAGTCAGGAAAACTAGTCACAAAATAATTGTGTGGGTGTGTGACAGATATTTTATGGTTGGGAGTGGGCTAGGGTTAAAATATCTGAATTTTTGTTTTCAATATTTTTTTTATTACAGTTGTTATATGCTTGAATGCATAAACAATGCTGCTCTGATAATCAATGATCATTTTAAGGATACATCTTGATAATTACAACTACAAGCCACCAGATAAACAAAGTGGCATAAGCTTCTTGACTTGGAGGTAAACTGAAGCACACAAGCACAGTCATAGTTGAACTTCTCGGTTTTGTTTTGCTAACCTGGGGGTTTGTGTAAAACTTGTCTAAAGTTTCAAGCTCTCTATTGTCATATGCACAACAATTACAGAGAAGCAGTCGTTGGCAATGACAACTTATAGCTCAGGCTGCCTCTGACATTTGTCATATAAATATGTTAAAAAAAAAACATGTTAGGAAATCGAATTGTAAGACAGTCTGATGGTCTGACTGCTTTTTATTGACGGATCTCAGTAATTATGCCGGTGAGTGCAGTCGAATGCCCTCGCAGCTAATTGGAATGAAGACCACAAGTGGAACAACAAGATCCAAGTTGCAAAAAGCCAAACTTATTCTTTAACTGATTAGTCAGATCACACATTTTTGCATGTGGAAACATCTGTTTTAGAGGTCTGTTTTCAAATTTGCTATACATAGTGACTTAAACTAATTTTTCATTCAAAAATGTCCACCATTAACTTGCTCCAGCTACTCCAATGTAAGGATTTCCAATTTTTTGGTTTGTAAATTGGGTTTGTGTGGTTTTGGGCTAAACCAGCTATTTGAAGACCAACATTCTTTCACAATTTTGATTTTGTGACATTTCTGCTAGCTATAATGAACTTGAACCAGCCCGTAAAGTTAGTAATTATTTGGATCACGTAACTGTTTGTGTGTAGAAAGTCCATATGTGTTTACTTGTTTTGAGAAACGCCCACCAGTCCCTTCTTCCAGCTTCTCAGAACAGTCCGTTTGTGTCGGTAATCAGTCGATTAATTGGTTTACCACTCGGTCGATCTTCTCTCCATGTTGGCTCGTAGCTCTGTGTGATTTATTTTTTTTCAATTGTGAGGGTGCAGCAGGAGCCCCAGGGCGGTGTTCCACACAGTTCACATAGCTCACATTCCCCCAACCTGACGACACCGCACTGCCAGCGGAAAGGTGGTGGCAGGCATGTGTTACAACAAAATGTTTGCGATGATTCAGGTGTTGTTCATCAAATACAAAACCAGAGCGAAGGAAAAAAATCAAGGTTAAAGCCACAACGGGCTCACAATGAATCGTCAACGCGAATGTTGCCTTTCTTTGTTTGGGCGGCAGAGCGAGAGCGACAGGGGCGGTGAGACAGATTCAAAGACAGCCGGGCTGCAGACAGACTGCAGGCGGCTGAAAGGAAGGGAAAGAGACTACACTTCTCTTTATCATGAATACGATAAAGAGAATGAATTTGAATGTAGCTGGTTTGCAACCTGCATCTCATAACTCATTCAGCTCACAGTGTTCAGCTGTCTCTCCCTCAACCTCCTGTCTCTCTTTGTACCTTTTCTTCTTTTCCCTCTCCCTCTCTTTTCCTTTCCACCTCCATCTGTCTCTCTCTCCCTGTGTCTCTGTCTCTATTCCCCCTCTTCTTCCTCTCCGCCTCTACCCCCCTACCCCCTTCACTCTGCCGTTTTGCTTTCTCTATCATATTTATGAAGAGCTCAAGCCTTATCTCCTTTCAGCTGCAGGCTGTCTCACTTGAAAGAATTTCAAAAGCTTTGAAAGCAGGGTAGGTGGCGACGCATCGGGGGAAAGGGGATAAAGACGAGGAAGCGAAGGGAGGTGTGATGTTAGCTGGACGGAGAAGTTCCTCCGCTTTCCAGAGACAGACGTCGGTGGGGGCGACGACTCTGGAGCTCATTAGTTTACCAAGACCAAGTTACAACAGGATTATTTAGAAAAACACGGACGCACTCCGAGTGACTGTGCGAGCTACCACTAACTACAGGGATTTGAAAGCTAATGAGTCATTATCAGGCCAGACAGATAGGTCTGGCAGCGCGGTGGCGTGTTTGTTTTACGGATGCGATTTGTACATGCCCCACTCCTTCCCTCTTAAGCCTCAACACTTAACCGGCAAACCGTCCGAGTTGCTCGACTTTCGGTGGCACCGCTTTAACAGGGATTGTAACAAAAGCCGGTTACGCACACCAGAGACCTGGCCGAAGCCTCATGATATTCCACTTAATATCAGTGTTTTTGATGGATAGCGGTGCTCTGGTTCAGTTCAGTCTCATGACCAAAATGGCAAATATTTATTATTATAATATATATATTTTTTGCTCTTTCACTGCACAAACGCACCACGGTCACACACACTGATTTACAGTGACAATCACGTCAGCGTGGGGAAACCATGGCAACATCCAGTTAATAAATGGCAGAACAGAGGAGCTGTTAGTGCACATCGTTCACGCAGCCTCTTTGTGCCGCGCGTGTGAACGCTCACACTGGGCCTCCAGAGATTTGTCTGTGATGTCTTGGGTAACATAAACCTTCTGGTTTCCTACACCCCCCAAGCCCCTATCCCACCATTACAGATCCCAGTCTTGTGCATGGGTGTGTGCGTGCATGTGAATGTGTGCGTGTGTGTGCATTTGAGAATGTGAGTGTGTGCGCGTTTCCCTGCGCGCGTCTGTTGACATTTTCCCTGCATTCCCCCGAGAGAGGAGACAGAGAAAGAGCGGAAAGTATTCCCACGTTCTCTCTGGAGATCTCAGATCTGCCATGTTTGCTCTACTTTTTCCTTTTTCTTAAACACTTCAAAAAAAAAAAACGTCTCCCCTTTCTCTACACCCTTTGCCTTTTTCTTCTTCTTCCTCGTGCCACATTGTGTGCGCCGAAGCTGATCACATCCCTCTTTTTGTGAGATGCCGGGAGCTGTCTTAAGCGCTCCCCTCTGCCTCAAAGCTTTGCACTGTGCTGTGAATTAGGCAGGGATGGCGGATAAGGTGAAGGGATTTTGCTTTGGTGTGATAGCCAATGTGATATTTGTTCCAGCTTGTCACCTCTAAACATCAGGCCTCTCCAGGAAAAACAACTGCTTTAAATGATCAAACCTCTATTCTGCTTTCTTTTTTCTTTTTTTCCCCCCAAAGTAACTGCCCTGACCTTTTCTTTCCATTTTGTGTCTTTTCTGCACAGATGCAGTCATGGTTGGGAACCTTCAACCCAGAGAGAGAGAGACGAAAGGTAATGGCCTGTCCGACCATCACATTTCTCCACACACACACACACACACACACACAGAGCGTGAGGATTAGAGTGTGTGCAGGATTAGCTTTTGTGTTCCCGCTGGGTAGGTGTCAAACAGCGGGGAGCAATTTGACCTTGTGACACCTCCGCGTTTCACCGTGTGTGTGTGTGTTTGTGTGTGTGTGCGAGTGCACCCGTGCATGTATATTCAAATGTGGGTGTGCACGTATGTGTGTGTTTAAATTTGGGAGCTGCGGTGCCTCTCTGTTCTGCTCCTGACCTTACTGAAAGGGAAAGGGGACAGGGGAAGCTACCTGTAAAAAATATTAATATCAAGAGAAGTCAGATTGTGAAAACAGGACATGGGCAGTATGGAAATAGTGGAGAGATTACGTGCAGTTTTACCCGGCGACAACCTCCGGTTCTAAAGCCGATGCGGTGTCTTAAAACTTGTATTCTCTCTACTGACCAACAGGGGGCAAAAAGACGTCTGATTGTATAGAAGTCTATGAGAAAATGACTCTACTTCTCTCTTGATTTATTACCTCAGTAAACATTCTAAACACGAGTTTATGGTCTCAATCTCTAGTTTCAAGTCTTATTCAATACAGCATGATGTTCATTTAGTACATTATGGTCCATTTAGAGTCAAACAGACCATAAAGCAGGGTATGCTTTATGGTCCATCTCTCTTCTGTTTCTGAATGTGCGGTAGCCATGGAGCCTCTCCTAGCTGTTTAATAGCTAGCAGCTATAACGTTACCCAGCATGCCGTTTGGCAGTGTCAATTTTTCAATATTCAATTAGGGTTACAAATTATTTAGGTGTCACAAATTGAAAAAAGAGTCTATGCTCAATGCGCTGTTCGTTGCATTGCTCTCCGGAATGCCAGAGGACAACAAAACGTACTGTGAAGAAGCAAGAAGACAACGAGTGTAACTGGCAAAACGGCACAAACCAACCTCCACTATGCCGAGGAGGAATTGTTATTATCTCATATTCTCAGATTACTGTATTTCCTTTGTACAAGCCCAGTAAAGAAACGACTCAATTATCACATGTATTATAAAGAAATTAAGGTTTAACATCCTGTAAATAATTTGACTTGGCTGCAAAATATTTACTCAAAAGAAAATTTTGAACACCTCCTGTTTCTAAGGCATCTAATAACTAATTGGCCTTCTTTGTATAATCCCTTGACATGCAGTGCTTTTATCAGTGAACTATTTGTGACAGTCACGTCTGGTGCAGGCACCAAGTTACAGAAATTCAGAGATGCACGACCATAACCGAAACTTTACTCTGTTACAGAGAGAAATCTGTGCCTAATTCATAGTTGTGTAAAACCCATAGTTTGTAAAACGTAGTCACCGTGACGCAGTGGCGGCCCGTGCATTTTATACCTGGGCCTTCACTGTTGTCCTGCAGCTGAAATACCACCTTATAACCACATGATGGCGCCACAGTTATCAGTTTCTAAGGCTGTAACTATGTACGTATTAATTAAATGTATTAATTAAATGTACGTAACATTCGGTATGAGACTTACAATACGTTTGAATAGTACTAGAGAATCTGTCAAATGCAGAAGCTTATATTCAGGAAAATATAATGTTTTCTGTGCTCATGGAGGACAGTGGTTCTCAGCTGGTCTGGCTGTGGGACCCACCATCACTTCTTAATGACAAGTCGTGGCCCAAAGAGATCGTCTTATGATTTTACTTTCACAACTTGAACATTGTAGGTACTGCTCTGCCTTTCCTCGTCTCAGCCCCCTGTGTCATGGTGTGTGGTACATCTCACTGAGTCAGAATGCCCATATTTGATTGGCTGAGCTGCATCACGTGATGTGATTCACTACCCGACAGCCTCTGCTGTTTCGATAGTCACGTGCTCGCCCACTGACCAATCACAGCGCACTCTGCACCTTGTGGCAGAGCTGCATGGACACTGAGCTGCAGGTAATGCTGAGGTCATTATAGGCCGGCTCGCAGGCATGTCAAAGAATACGCCCAACATGTCAAACTAAAGATCTGATTGGTTGAAGACTATGACAATCAACAATATCGTCCCCATTCACTTAAACTGCAAAGGGATGCACGTGTGAGTCTGCAGGCCTGGGGCCTCTCTTCTTACCTAGAGACACAGAGGTGAAATCTGATTGGATAAAAGCTCTACTTAAAACAAGCTGCACTGGAAGCAGAGCAACTGAGGAAGAGAGAAAATAAGATAATGGGAAAAATATTTTTATAAATTATAATACATGTAGTTTATTTAAGAAAAATTATTAAATTATAAAATAGATATAGCTTTGTGATTCTGTTTAGGCCAGCAGAGAAGGCCTTGCAAGCCCTGACGGCCCGCCACTGCCATGACGTCACCTTACTGGTTTGTGGGCTGCTGTTTTGAAGTCTCGAATTCGGCGTAATCGCCATCTTGGATTATGGCTGTCGCCGTGCTGTTTTTATTTATTTTTCAACCAATGAACAGAAGTTAATGTATTTGGCTGGCGGATGAGTGACGTACAGACGTATACGTTTCTGGTAGAGGCAGCGACCTGTCAATCACAGTAAGCCCGCCCTGAATCATACCCTGCTTTATGGTCTATTTGACTCTAAATGGACCATAATTTACTAAATGAACATCATGCTGTATCGAAGAAGACTTGACACTAGAGATTGAGACCATAAACTCATGTTTACAACATTTACTGAGGTAATAAATCAAGTGAGAAGTAGAGTCAATTTCTCATAGACTTCTATACAAACAGACTTCTTTTTGCAACTGGAGTCGTCGCCCCCTGCTGGCCATTCGAGAGAATGGAAGTTTAGGAAGCTTCCGCATTGGTTTCACTCGGCAGAACCGGAGGTTGCCTCCTGGTAAAACATTGAGTTAAAACCACGAGTGTGAAGGGTAAGCATAGAGTCTCCTCTCCATGCACACCTAGCCCTGACAGTACCGTGTGCGATTATACACGGTTGTAGCAGTGCCTGAAAAATTGAGATTATACAGGAAATACCGCCCAGCACTGATCTCAGCCGTAGCTGTTTTTCATTTAAAACATTTTTTTAAAAATGTGTTTCATACGAGTCCCATAAATTTATGGAAGTGCAGCACTAAATTGCCGGACAGCCCATTGATATTAAATTATTGATTTCTTGTAAAACGCCGGTATCAGGAGGTACATCATTTCATCTGGCCTGCTTTCTGCAGACACCGCATCCAATTCAAGTGTCCTCCGGCAGGACTCCTCCTGCCCACACGCCGTGCATAACTCTGGAGACGCCAAATCATTCAAAACGTAACGCCTTAAAATCCACGAGCATCCTGCACTGAGGTGATCAGTGTCACAGTGCTATTCATGAAAAGTGAAAAGCAGCCGTACCTGTTCTGTTGTTACAACTCCACCCCGCAGGGTGAGGTGTGTGTGTGTGTGGGGGGGGGGGCAGGTTAAGGTTATGTAGATGCTGCCCCTAAGTGGCAGATGTAATTACTGCACACTGAACTGGCGTAACCCTCACCAGTAACGACATACACACACACTGTTCATATGGGCTAATTGCTACGTGTAGCACAGAGTGTAAATAAGTCAGCGGTGTGTTTTTTTTATCACACTCTCCGTTTCCTCGTATTTCTCTTTCCCAATCGCTATCCTCGTTTCCATCTGTTTTTCTCTCTGCCTTTCACTTTGCCCTCCCTCTCTTTCTCTCCCTCCCTATCTTTCCCCCTTCTCTTTTTGTTTTCTCTCCTTCCCTCCCTCCGTCTCTCTCTCGCTCTCTCTCTTTCTTTCTCTTGTACTCATACCCAGCATGAATAAAGCAGCAAGCCAGGTTCATGGACATGAATATTTATGAGAGTTTATGCACGCGCTGCGATGCTTTAAAACAACAACAACAGCCTCCCCGATTGTGCTTGCCAAGCCAGCAAGCTTTCTGGCTAGTGCGTGTGTGTGTGTGTCTGTGTCTGTGTGTGTGTATCAGCAGGTGTAAACTAGAGAAAGCGATTCCTGCTGGGTGTCTGAAGACCGCCGGCTCTGGTTATTTCCATTCACATCGCCACATCTCCCTCCTTCTGTGCCTCACATGTTCTCTGTCACTGTCTCTCTCACACACATACGGCTACACGCGCACATGCACACTTTTGTTTTGCGTTCACGGATGTAGTTTCCTGCGTTCGCCATTCTTGATCTTTTCTCTCTCGCTCTCTCTCTCTCTCTGACTCAGCCTGGCACCATCACCCTCCCTCGCTATCTCTGTGTGTGTGTGTGTGTGTGTGTGTGTGTGTGTGTGTGTGTGTGTGTGTGTGTGTGTGTATCTGGCTGGAGCGATGACGTACATAACTTGTGTTGGCAGTTATCAGGGCCGTCAGTCACATGGTTTCGACACATCTCTGTGTGTCCCGAGCAATTTGTTTGTGGTCAGGCATGAGTATGCGCACACACACACTGCACAAGCACCACAAGGTCTTGCAGCTGCGAAGGTGGGGGGGGGGGTATTTAGAAGAGGGTGTTTAAGCCAGGCCTTACAAACACACACACACAAACACATAGTTTTAAACACATTTGCACACACAGCAGCTCAGTCCCGTCGGGTAGCAACAAAGCTGGCTGAGCAAACAGCGAGCTGCTTGTTCGTTATCTTCCCAGGGTGTTTGTTTACTGATCCACACAAGCTTCGAGTCACAATGCGATGCGTCTATCCACGTGCCTGCGTACACGTGCGTGTGCGGGCCGCATGCTTGACCTCGTTCCTCTGAGTTTAAGGCCTCTACATCTGCATGTTTGTTTCACTTCTTTTTTTTTTTCCATGTCAACAACACCATGAAAAACATCCAAAACATCAAGCTGCAAGGACAGTTGGGCTTGTCTCTCAAGGGCTCTGAAGCGCCAGGCATGGCTTTGACAGAACACACACACACACACACACACACACACACCTCCGTTTGTAGGGATCGGCTCCTCAGCTGCTAGATAGTGAGATGCTTTGAGCATCTCGGCATTACTCGCTGGTGTCTTAACCAAATGCGTTTGGATTTCATTTGTCCATCGTTTCTGGTTTTTAAAAAAACACAAATTAGGCTGTCAAAGAATTTTAAGAAGGAATTAAACAACATAATTAGAATATGGCAATTTATTTGCTTCAACAATCTCGCCAAAAGTGCCATTTTAGAGCTTGTCTGGAGCTTTCAACTGTATCGCAGCATCTTGAGTTTGCCTAGCTGTCAGACAATTGTAGATTTATAATTTCCATTTTAACTTTTCAGGAAGGACCTTTTGTCCATGTTGGTTGGAAAGTTGGAAACAGCTGTTGTCAAAACAATTATATCTATCCATCCATCCATCCACATATATATAAATAACATCCTAATTTACTAATACACACTGAATCCTCATGAGTAAAACCCTGTGATGGATATTTGTGTTAATCCTGCAGCAGATAATCTTAATGTCTCACGAAAACCTTTCATTATGAAATTTTATTAAATTATGAATAAGTTAGTCCTTGATTTTCACTCCAAAAAATACCTTTTTTTTTTTTAAAGGTCTTTGAATGCGATGTTGGAGAGCGCTGGGGAAACCTGATGCTGTTATTTTTAGAAGAGTTGTTTTTTGTCTCTTCGAATGATTGCGGTCAGTGAAGGGGGACGGGTCGCTCCCGATAACGCGTCCGTAATCTAGCGTGCGTCATTAATGACGGGTCCGCTGCGCCCGCCGCACACAATTGCGCTTTCAACCCCCTCTGCTTCCCAAGCAGCGCAGGCTTCACTGACACGGGAGGACTGTGATTAAAAACACCAGGCTCTTTAGCCGCGTTCTTCCTCCTCCTCCTCCTCCTCCTCCACATCCTGTCCCTTGTGCATTGGAATTCCTCAAATGCCTGCTTTTACACCTCACCTACGTTTTGTCTGAGATTACTGGCTCCATGTATTATTTTTAAAACCCAATTTCTGGACCCCCCCCCCCAAAAAAAAAAAAACACCGACAATGGCTCATGCGCATTGCAAATCTCCTTTTCCACTTAGCATCCTGGATCCTTAGGCTCCTGGCTTGCCCTTTTCCTCCCTCCCAATGACACATTCATCCCAGCACACATACACACACACACACACACACACACACACACACACACACACACACACACACACTTGAGATGACAATAGGCAGAGCGGAACATGGCCGGTGACGTCAGTGCTTCCTATCATGACAGACACAGGGCTATGCTTAACGTTTGCCTTTTGGGTTTACAGAATGCGTTGTGGAAAACGAGACCGGCCCCCGTTCAGCTGATCACATCCAGCCAGCACGCTGGAAACTTGGCTCTTATATTTAATATATTGGATTTGCGCACGCGCACACACACGCACGCGCGTAAGATGAAATACCACCGGGGGGGGGGATCTCGTGATTTTCATTTGAATTGTTTAAAATGCCTGTGTTAGAGCTTGCACGCCTCGGGGTCTTTTCTGGTGAGTAATTAATTTTCCAGCATGTGGGGGTAGAGACCAGAGCTCGCGGGCCCATGCCTCCTGGCTGTGTGTGTGTGTGTGTGTGTGTGTGTGTGTGTGTGTGAGAGAGTGAGAAAAGAGAGGGAAGACTTTCCGCTGCTACCGCGTCCTAGCTTAAGGGGGGGGGGTAAACAGCACAGCGCAGAAAATCGATCCAGGGGCCGCGCTTCTCAGCCTTCTTCCGGGCGCAAGAGTCCTCTGCGGGGAATTAGATAACGGCTTGTAAAAGCTCTCCCCCCCTCTCTCCTCGACTTTTAGCCGCTGCCGCATCTCTCCGTCTTCCCGCCCGCCTGTCTCGCTCATCCACGAGTATATTGAATTCATCCCCGTTCGCATTACGTCTACAAGTATTGGCTTCCAGTTTAATTGGAACCCCCCCCCCCTCAAGGCCGAGCTCTGCCCTCCTGCTGAACCCTTCACCCCTCCTCTCCCCCCCTCACACACACACACACACACACCGTTTCTTCTCATAAATGTGTGTGGATATTGCGCATTATCAGCAGGTTAATATTTTATTAGGGTTTAATTGGCCTTTGTTGTTTGCCTCAGTGCGCTGATCTCCCAGTTAAGACAAAGACTGTGTGTGTGTTTGTGTTTGAGAGACGACACTGTTAGTGTGAGCATTCAGTTTCTCTACATGGGTCAGTAGTCACTTTTTTCTTTCCTCCAGCTCTCCTTGGCGGAGGAGATCAAGCCATTGAAGTGGTATCCTTCCGTTTACCTGCTGGTGTCCATCTTTCCCCTCATCAACAGGTAATGCACGCACACACACACATACACTTGTACTGCACATAAACTCTGCACTCCCTTGTTTTACTGCGTGTCGGCTTCACACTGCTATCTTATCTCCTCTCAACCCGTCACCCCCCTCCCGCTCTCTCTCGCCCTCCCTCCCCTGCTCCCTCTTATCTGAACTCTCTCTCGGAGCTTCACTTTCTCTGTACAGCAGCACGAACACCAGAATTGTGTGTGAGTGTGTCTGTGCGTGAGAGTGTGTTTGTGTGTGAGTGTGTGTGTTGGAGGCACAGGGCATTTTATTGGCTCCTTTTAAAACCAAGGCTTCGTTGGCTGATGGTTCGGTGGGAGGAGGCGGGTGGTCCAGTAAATGATAACCCCGGTGCTGTTATTTCTCTCTCTCTCTCTCTCTCTCTCTTGCTCTCTCTTTCATTTGCTACCCCTCCCTGCAGCGGAACCCGGTGTGATTGACAGGTCAGGGTTACTAAGTGATTAGCCGCAGCGGCTCTGCTTGTCGCCACGGCGATGTAGGCAGAGACACAGGTCAATTACAGGGTCAACGTCTCTCAAAGGCTCCGCTTAAACACCGCCCATCCCCCCCCCGACCCACCCCCTCACCTCGCGTTCTCACCCTATCCTCCCCCCTTCACCTCTCCATCCATCCCAGGTCCCCCCCCATACTCCCTCCCTGTGCGCCCCAACTGTCGGCTGATGAAGATGACAAACTGCATCCTGTGCAAACCCCAAAACCTCCCTCCCTCTCCTCCCTACCTCTTTCCCTCCCTTAATGTCACTTTCTCTTCCGCTCTTCCCTCTTTTTACGCTCCAAATGTCTTCGTTATAGCCCCCCTTTTTATTTCCACACGTCCTCGCTCAGTCTTTCTCCTCCTGTGTTTTTATATCGCCTCCCCACCACCCCCTCACCCTCCACTTTTCCTCTTCTCTGCCACACAAAGCCCCGTCTCTCTCTCTCTCTCTCTCTCTCTCTATCTCTCTCTCTCTCTCCCTCCCCTTCTCTTGAGCAAACACGCTCTCGCTCGCTCACTCAGCTCCGCTCCGCTCTGCCTTTCTCCAGAGAGCGAATGAGGAGAAAACGGGAATGAATTGCTCTCGCTAGTCGTCCTCCACCACCTCCCCCTCCCCCCCGCTCAGCAGCGCTGGCTGTGTGTATCTCCGGCTCCTATTAATTTGTTAGCCTCCCCTCCCTCCCTCCCTCACTCACCTCCCTCCCCCTGGCTCATATCCTCCTCCGCCTCCTCCCCTCTTTCTCCATCTCCCCCTCCTTCCTTCCCTCCCCTCCGCTGAGTGCTGGAGTGTGTAAAGTGTTTGTCACGGTGCCGTGCTGATGTCGCTGTGCTCTGCCGTGCGGAAGCCTCTGTGTGTGTGTGTGTGTGTGTGTGTGTGTGTGTGTGTGTGTGTGGGGGCGGGTGGTTGGTTTCGTGTCAAGGCAAATGTGCAGTCGCTGCTTGTTGCCGCGTGTGCACGCACTTGTTTGTCCGCCACGACTTGAGTGTGTGCATTCGCGTGTCTGTTTGTGAGCATTCCTGTGTGTGCGTGCGTTTTTGTTTTGCGTGTGCATGCGTAACGTTTGTGTGTGTGTGTGTGTGTGTGTGTGTCTGAGTGGGGGATTATTTCTATCTGAGCTCCAAAGCCTCCTAAACAGGGCTTAGAGAGACGGCCCAGGGCAGCAGCTAAAGCCGTCGGTTAGAGCTCTCTCTCTCTCCCCCCTTTGCTCGCTCACTCTACATCTCTCCCCGCTGCTCTCTCTCTCTCTTTCTCTCTCTCTCTTCTCTCCCTCTCGCTGCCATTTCTCCCATGCCCTGATCCATTGCGTTAATGCACAGACGCTCCCACACGCAAACACACTGTTGTTTTTTTTGGCCCTCATCTGCCACCGCACACACAAAAACACGCACGGCCACACGCGCACCGACAGTCACATGCCACGCGCAATTTTAATCTGTTCCAAATGCACACTGGTAAATGTGTTAATTCGACACCAGCTGTTGCGAATTGAAATGGGGAAAGCGCTCCTTACTTTTTCTTTGCTCGCTCGCACACACACACACACACACAAGCGCGGACGAGTCATTATACATCACTTTACTGTGCGCACGTCTCTCTCTCTCTCTCTCTTTCACTTGCCCTCTCTTGGCCACAAAAAAAGTAGCACCAGACACTCACACCTTCACACTTATCCCTCCTCCTTCTCCTCCTCTCTCTTTGTCCTTCTTTTCGCTGCCACTTCAGTCTCTCTCTCTCTCTCTCTCTCTCTCTCTCTCTCTCTCTCTCTCTCTCAGCTCGTTCTATGTGTGTACGTGTGTGGAAGCGTTGCCCGGGCACGACTACAGTTTTCACAGTCTGCTTCTCACATCGCCTCCCCTGTGTGCTTTATGGTGTGGGTGTGTGTTTGTTTACAAGGCTTGTCGAGAATTCCTACTGTGCGCGCCCGTACGCCTGTTTGCATAAATAAGCCCTCTCCCCGGAACCGAGCCGCCGATCGCTGGGGGCGCGTCATGGCTTGACGTAGCTAGTGCTCCTCCTGGACAGCCCTGCTTATCTTTTACGAGGACGTTTGCCGCCCCCCCACCCCACCATTTGACACCAAGCAGGGAGAAACCGGCATCCCCATTTAGTGTCTTTTTTTCTCCCCTCTTCTTAAAGGCTTTTTCTCTCGAAGCACTAAAGCCAGGCACATGGACAGGAGAGCTAGTTGTCTTTGAGCAATCAGGGTTACGTGCCCTGCAGAGCGGGTGCTTCAGCAGGGACAGATTGGCCCCAGCGGCGGGGGCTCGAACCGGCCGGTGCGTCTATAACCTTGGGTTCACCCTGTCGCTCCGGGGAGGCAGCTCGCATCCTCCCAGTTATTCCTGGTTTCCCCCCCCCTCAATGCCGCGTGTGGGTTTTGTGGCGTGTATAGGCCTATACGTGCTTGCAGGGGATTTTTGCAAGGGCTCCCTACGGCGCCTAAGCCCCCCCACCCCCGCCACCTTTCTCTGGAGGAGATCTGATTTCCCCGCTCCAGGCGAGCAGCAAGAACAAGACAGTGTGTGCGCGCATCTGTGTGTGCGTCTGTGTGCTTTTTTGTGTGCGCCCGCACACGCAACCCGGGCCAGGCAGACCTTCCCCATCTCCGCTCGGCGCTTTGAAAAACGAGGGAGGAAATCTCAGAGCAGCAGTTATTATTCATCCCTCAAAGCAAACGGGGAGGAGGCGGGGGATGGGGAGGCGGAGGGAGGGATGCTCGGATGGAGGGAGGAAGAAAGAGAGAGCCAAACGGGAGGGATGAAGGGGGGTGGGGGGGATACATTAACTCTTATCTCACTGTATTCTGCATTCTGCATCCCAAAATGTGCTCTCTCTCTCTCTCTCTCTCTCTCTCTCTCTCTCTTTCCCCCCCCCCCCGGCTTTCTCTTGCCTTTCTACACTCCCTTCCTTCCGTTCCTCGCCTCTCAGAATATCTTGCATTCGGCGCACATAGATGTGTGTTAGTGCCTCGGTGTGTGCGTGTGTAGGCTGTTGTGTGGTTTGTACTGTATACCCTAATGTATCTTATGGTGTGTTTCGTAGGGCTGGGCAAAAATATCGATATAGCTTACTATTGCGATATTTGTTCAAACTATAGTGTATTGATATGTCCGGAACTCCAAATTCACAACATGGCGTCTCACAAGCAAGTGGCCGTATATTGTACAGCGGTGCGATGTGATCCCGACTCATTCCTGCCAACACATGATGGATGTAGCCGTGTAGTGCCCGGGATTTACGAAGAGGTGACGAAACGTGTCAAAACATCGCTCCCCCCTGCAGAGAGAGAGAGAGAGTAGCCCTGACATGCGATGTGTGGACGACTAGACCGCTGAGTCGAATGTTACAATGACGTCACGACACCACAGCACGAGAGTCATACAGGCAGTAACATCGCGGAGTTACTGAAAACTGAACCTGCAGGAATGGGAATTAAATGGGAAGGACCCAGCCATAGTGACTGACAACTTTACTTAATGCACTTTATTTCATATGATGTTGATGGCATCTACATGTAAGTTAAGAGTGGTCAGTGACACAATCAGAAAAGATGCCACAAATTAAGTTGTGGCAAGTTCATTTTAGTAAAAAAGGGTTCAGTGACACAATGACAATACAAAACACTTTGATGCAATTTGTCCGCTGAGTTATCAATATGGGATGTACGTATTAGACTATCCAGGTGGTACACAGCAAGTTGTATTTTCAGCTCTACCCTTACATTGTCATAAAAAAAATGTATTGTATTTTTTAATTGAGTATTGCAATATATATATCGTAGTATCGCGATACGCTTCGTATCGTGAGTGGCTTGCCAATACACAGCACTAGTTTACTTGAACCAGTGAGCTCCTCAGATACTGAAAGGCACTATGTAAGGTTCCAACTCTCATCTATATTTATCTACTAGTCTTTTTTTTTAAATTCATCTATCACCTCACATTCAATTCCCTGTGTTTACTAAAATCAGTTTAGTTTAGTTTGATATAACTTGGTGGTATGTGAATTTTGTTTTGAGACTGGGAGGCAAATCTGTCATTTCTATACCGTGTTGTCTTGCTTTGATCTCTGATCTTTGCAGAACGGAGTCTCCAGGTTTACGTGACTGGTCTCCAGGGGGTTGGCTCACCACCAAAATCCGAATTAGCTAAATTAGATTTAAATCTCATACACTAGAATTTAGCCCATTAAAAGAAACACGTAGGATATTAGCTTATTCTTGCGTTTTCTTTAACCCCCCCCTCAAAATCAAAGATGTCTGTGGCGTCCGACGCCACACGCTCTCTAAACCCCCTGATCGCCCGTGTGACAGTTCGGCCCGTGTGACAGTTCGGCCACATGTGTCCATGTGGCCTAGATAATATGTGGGTGGATATATGATCGTGTGTGTGTGTGTGTGTGTGTGTGTGTGTGTGTGTGTGTGTGTGTGTCCGTGTCCGTGTCCGTGTGTGCGTGCACTTGTGCCGTTGCGTCTCAGGCAGCGATCGCTT